GCCATACGTGAATTATTATATACGTCAATGTAAATGAGTTGATATAGTAAAACAACAGCTCTATATGAAGTTGAGGATATCTCGTAGTCGATCACTTCCGACCAGAGCACTCTTACTTGCTTTGTCTTAAAATAATTTTTTCTTTCAGCCAAGTTGGTAGCAAAAAGCATTTTATAAATTAGAGCAACACTTGCTGCGCTGCTTGCGGCGCCCGCTGTGGCTGTTGTTGGTTTGTTGTCGCTGGCGTTGCCGCCTTAATGCCGCACCTTGCATGCGAAAATCTTTTCACGCCGCGGGCCAGGCATCATGCGAAAAACTAATTTCGGCGCACACATCGTATGTCTTGGCACAGCCGCCTCTATCTGCGACTAGACGACTCTTTATGCCGGAAGATGTTTCAATTTTGTGAAAAATAGCAACAATTAAGTGATTCAGGTGGCCTGATTTCTTCGCAAAAAGTTTCAGGTGCCCGAGCGAGCTCTGTCTGTGGGTCAGGCTCTTTTTGTGTTTGGGTCAAAATTCGATGCGACATGGCGATGACATCATTTTAGTCAATCGATTTTGAATGTTTGACAGGCCTTTGCAGGCTTTTGCATAATTTGTCTAAAATGGTCAAAAGGCATTTGAGCACTACAATCGAACATAAATCGTTAGATGTTTGTCTGTGTGCCAGTCACAAACCCAAAGCTAACAAATCAATCAAGCAACGTAAGCGGCGGGCAGAATCACTTGACATTTGACAGATAATACACGAAGTAGCTACATTTACAGACAGGCTGAAGCCGGGGCTTAGACGTTCGCTGAGACATGGCTAACAGCGTTCTCTATCGAAGCGTTTATTGGCGCCATCAGATCATCGGTGGTGATCCAAAAACAAACGACTTAGGCAACGAACTTGAAGCCGCCGCCGCGCTTGAGCATAATTGATTAATTTGCCTAAATAAAGAAAACAACTGAGCTTTTCCAACAGGTGAAATTTTCCAAATTATTAATGATAATGACTTTTACGCCGGCGCAAATATTTAAGCAACACTACACGGCCAGAGAGCACGACAGCTAAACGAAGCCAGTGCCGGGACACGGACCCCAAACCTCATATTGCCCAGCCAGATGTGTAAACTGACCCACTAAGCTGGCCTCGCAGACGCTGTTGGACATTTAGCCAATGTTTTTCTTGTGTGTTTTTTTTCTGTTTTTTTGTACCAAGTGCAAAATGTAAATGAAAACTATGTGCAGCAGCGCCCAGCGGCGACCGGGCACCACGAGCAGCCATCGACAATTGTTGCCATAATTTAGTAATTTTTTTCTGCTTGTGCAATTTCATAAATTTGGATTTTTGTGCCCAGTGGCCAGCGATTGCCACACATTTCCGCGTAATCATCATAATTTTTCATGATTTTCCACGATATTTTATTTAATGTATTTGCTAATTTAGTGAAGTCCACAGCGATATCCATTACCAACCGAACACAATTTGGCACACCGCATAAAATGGCACATTTGAATACGTTTCAATTTGGACAGTTCCACTGATGACGATGACTTCATTAGCTCAACTCGTTTTGCCAGCAAAAGTGTTTCTCGATTTCTTGATTAATGCTGGCGGAATGACGGGATCGATGCCAAGACACAGTTTCTATATACATATATATTTATATGCGTGTGTGTATGTGTGTGTGTGCGTGTGCATAGCCTTTGCTTAAACTTTGCTTTGGCACAGACTCTGTGAGTCTTTGAGTCTGCCTCGACGCCCAGTTGTCAATTATCATCATCTTGAAGCCCGCTCGAATGATCGCCTTGCCAGAATTGTTATGTAAGTTTTTGGCATATTTAAATGATTTATAGCCCCAGGCATTGGCCATTGGCCATTGGCTCTGCACAGTGCCTGCTCTTGGCTTTGCCTAAGATGTTAACGTTCAAGTTGAAGTTGATGTCGGCATCGGCGTCGGCGTTGACTTCCTGTCCCTGGCCGACGTTGAGGAGAACTTTTCATATGCGGGACTTGAACTTTTGGGGGCGCTAAGTCGCAGCCATTTGTTATCGATGGTAAAAGTTGCAGGCACTGAAATATTTTACAGTTGTGTGTCATGAACTTTAATGTTAAGCATGTTTATGTTGTTGTTGGTGTTGCTGTTGCTGTTGCTGTTGTTGCAGTCAATTTTTATGCAGTTTGCATTGCAACTGCCGATACCTTTAAATGTGAGCAGTTCATGGGAACAACATTTGAGAAAGTCGTTGTTATTGTTAATGCAGTTGTAGCTGCTGCTGCTGCTGTTGTTGTTGTTGTTGTTATTTTCTGGTGTTGATGTGCCCGGTCGCGCATAGGTGCCAAAGCTCGGAAACGTGCTGAGGTCGCGTCAAGGCATCAAATGGCAATCCCAACACATAATTACACGTGCAAAATCTTATGTCTGACATTTTTGGGTTAACGCGACAAAGCATCACGGCTTCAACTTGATTGTCAGGTGTTGCAATTAACAGCACGTTTAATAACTCAATCAAAAAACATCACAGATGGCTGTGCCTCGACTGACCCTCATCAATATAATATGCAATAATTACGAATAGCCATCGATGGACACCGAACCAAGTGCGAACCCAGCCAACAGCTAACAACAATTCGTAATTATTGCCATTTATAAAATTGGAAATCAGTGTAAAGCATCCAGTTAAACATTAATAGATTTGTCAGCGTCGTTGTTGTAGAGCTGGAGACAGGCGTGTGAACTTGATCAGCCACAAAAATAAAAATAATATTTTTTTTTTCAAATCGAGACTTAGATGCTCTGCAATCAGTTTATATCTTGATCTTGTTTACTTGCCAGAGCTGAAGTAATTAAGTTAGTTTTCGTCGTTCACGCTGCAAAAGCAGTTAAATTATGGATTTGCCACGAATTTGGGAACCATATAGCTTGTAGGTCTATGTGTAGAGCAGTTCAGCAGTTCTTAAATGTTCCATAGTCTTAAAATGTAAATGCATATAATTACTAAAAAATGTATAAAATTCTATAGTTTGATGACTTGACCAAAGCATTTTTTTTTAATTTTCCAGTTATAAAACTGTGGTAGAAATAGTTGATCTCGATTTTCACGTTTTTAATCAAGTCTTATTTAGTAGAATGACCCAAAATATATACAAAATCATATAAAATAATACTCAATTTTTGGCTAGCTATAGATTTCCTCGAATTCCCAAGCCTCCAAATGGGCGTAAATTTTTTCTGTGGCATTCTGGTATGCATTTCAAGTTTCAAGAAGACAAAAGCAATAAATATAAGGCAAATTTCTTTATTCAAGTAAAACTAAAACGTATAAAACTTATATTTATTAAGAAAGTTTTAATATAAATATTTTAAATTAGGTCTTATAATCAAACTAAATCTCAAATTGGCAACATTTGCATACACAAACTTTTTCCTAAAGTCTATTGACAGTAAAGATAAAGTAGACTAGCAAGTTGAATTCTCACAGATTTGTAATCTTTGTGCAATAACAACAAGAGGACAATTCGTTCAGATCGACCACAAGTTAATTGCAAAGTTTATGGTGATTTGAAATAGTATTTCAATTAGTTGTAGCAAAGGTGAGGTGCGGAGAAACGTGACTCGTATCGAGAAATGGCCAGCAGAAGAAAGTCGAAGCGCCATGTGTACAGAAGAGGTCTGTTTGCTTAACCCCGTCGAGTATGGGCAAATTTATGAACATAAAGCAGCGTTTATGCGTGCGGCTTATATGCAATAAAGGTAACTTAGTGCCAACAGTGTCATAAAGGCCGATGCCACATAAACAACGCATAACAACAACTGCCACAGTGGCTATGTGGCTATGGGGCGAAAAGTGAATTCAATAAGTGAATTTATGTGCAAAGACTAAAAAAGCGTAGCAGGCAGGCAAGCAGTCAGGCACCCAGGCAGGCATATTGCCAAAAGCGAAAATAAAATTAATAATCACAAGAATTTCACTTTTCACGCAACGACACAAAACAGCAACAACAATAACAGCAGCAGCAGCAGCAGCTACAACATCATCATCATCGTCTGCCTTGTCACCCACAAAAAAAGCGAACGCAGTTGCATAAATTTATTGAAATTTGCATTTCGGTTTTTGGAGCTGGCGACGCTTTTGTTGCTGCTGCTGCTGCTGCGCCAACTTTTGGCCTACAAAACAAAACAGAAAAAATATGGCATCGATTGATCGCAACGCAAGATATTTCAATTAGCGTAAATACATTTTTGTCGCTGTTCGAACGGACGGCCGGACAGACGCACAGAGAGGCAGACGCGGCATTCAGATTGGCAGACGAGCTGCGACCAAAGAGAAATCGAAGATCTTTTGCAGACGCTTAAGCAAACGCAACGGCTGCGTAAATGAAGTAACGATATAGTTGCTATTCAAAGATAAAAAAGAGTGCTCTAGGCGGCAATGTCCGACTATGATATGCCCGTTCCGCAATTGAATATGGTTCAAAGTGGAGCCAAGCTCAAGTTTCGTATATTTCAATAATTCTTTTGAGAGGAATTAAAGATCGAATCTAAACTCATATAAAATCTTCGTAGTAAATTTAAAGTCGTTAGTTTTCAAGCAGTTTTTTATGCTTAAAGTATGAAGTTAAAATATCAATATTGAGATATATAGATATATATAGACTACTCAGTCGCATATACATATTTACATTTTATTCAGCATTTGAGTCTTTATCTCTTTATCTCGCTGCATTCATACTGACAGAGATCGACTCAGCTTTATACATATATTTTACGAACGCTACCATGCCCATTACCCACCTCATTACACCCATTTGCCCAATCCCCATGCAAGTACAAGAATTTCGATCTGTCAGCTTCGTCGGCACAGTTACACTTCGTAGCATGATGTTCCTTTATAGAATTCTCATTTATATACACAAATATCGTACTGTGAGCTGCATAATTAGAGAAGTACACTTTATAGTTTGTATTTTAGGAATACAAATAACAATTAGTCTTAGGCAAACACCATAATTTGATATGTTATATTTGTATTGGCTTTACTGCGCAGCTTGACAAATCGCTGAATGCCACATGAAAGCAACCTAATTAGCTATTGCATTTGCGTTATACTGGACTGGCGGTTCCTTTTTATATAGCAAATCACAAAACATTATACAAATTTATGCAAAAGCCAATTTACCAATTTGAAGAGCACTTATAAGACTAAAGTTTGTATCTGAATCAATCTCGGATCAAGGATCTTCTGGCGTAATAGTTACACGCATTTGCTTAACGCCCCGCATTATGACAATGTCTAATTCCTTTTTACCATCTGCTAGCGCATCGTAAACATCCGAGGAGTTTTTGATCTCCTTTTTGTTAATATGGGTTACAATGTCACCCGGCTGAAGACCACCGCTAAAAAGAAAGTCACATTAATCTGGGAAATCGATATGAATGTGTACAATTTCGCCTACCTATGCGCTGGAGACCCCACAATTACCTTCCAGACGAGAACGCCGTGCGATAAGGAGTTCGGCATATTTTGCGTTCGGGATTTCAGCTCAAAGAGTATGTCGGGAGTGAGGGTGAGCATTGTGATGCCCATATACCGTTTGACTGGATAGCCTGTCTTATAAGCTGAGCCTTTCTTGCGACGTGCCGCGGCACGCTCGAGAAACACTTTAACATAGTCTATGGGTATGGCAAAGCTAATGCCAGCAGTTACTTTCATGGAGTTGACTCCAATGGCCTCGCCGTCCAGGTTAACTAGAGGACCGCCGGAGTTGCCAAATGTAATGGCAGCGTCAGTTTGCAGGTAATTTATGTCGCGATTGCGCAATCCCAGCTCCTGTGAAGCACGCTGCGTTGAGCTAATGACCCCGGCCGTCACCGTATTGCTCAACGCTAGCGGACTGCCCAGGGCAACTACCCATTCGCCAGAACGCAATGTATTGCTCTTGCCCAGCTTCATTACAGACAGGTTGTTTACTTGAATGCGCAATGTAGCCAAATCGGACGTTTGATCCACGTCTTCGATGGTGGCTGGAAACGTGCGTCCGTCGGACAGACGCACTTGTACCATAGTATTAGGTTTGTTGATGACCACATGAGCATTGGTTAATATGAGTCCATTCTGCTCAATGACGAAGCCAGAACCGTTCGATGCTGTAATGGGCTGCCCACTGAAATAGTCAAAGTGCCGCGTGTCCTTTATCTCTATGTAGACGACAGAGTCCGCGCAGCCAGCGACAACATCCGCAATGAAATTAAATTCACGCCGGCGACCGGTTAGAGTTCGCGCCGAGATCGTTGGTGTCAACTCCTCGCGCTGTGCAACCATTGTGCTCGCCAGTGCACCAAGCGAGAACGGCACAAAGAAGCGAATGGCGCTGCGCCAACTGTAGCCTCTGTATCCATTTTTTTTATATTTATTGTCGTCGTTGTTATCGTCGCTCTTGTTGGCACTTGTGTTTTGACTGCTGACGATGTTGGCTGCAGTGTGCGCGGAATTGTTACGGCAGTAGTACAACGTGGGCGTACATCGTTTCATGAGGACATCCAGTTTGTTGATACTGCGCAGCGCCATTAATTTCTGTGACTGTATCAAAATGTAGTTATTGTTATTTAATTTGTGCTTCCATTTGAGACTTGGCCGCACAGCTGTTTGACACATACGGCTAGCTGCCTGCTGCGTCACGCAGATAATTTTGCTCACAATCTATCGATAAGCGTAACACAATAAGTCTTTTGCAAATGTTGGACATACAACTTTTTATTAACGGAATTGTTTTTCAAAGACACCTTTAAGCTGGCATAATCAGCATGAACGACAATATAATAAATAATAACAGTGATTGCTACACATAGTCAAAAATACTGAGTTTGCTATGCCAGTTTCACACAATCTGTATGTTGTACGACTATTTCTACGTGTATGTCCCGATAGGTTGTTACTTTTATCGATTACTTCACTAGTGCTAGAGTCCCATTCGATTACAGTTGTAAACCAGTTGAAAAAGTGAAATAACAATGGGGCAAAATTGATTGCACAAAGTTCAATTTAAATCTCAATTCTGGTGTTGAAATGTCGCAAATAATATAGCAAAAGCAGAAGTCATGATGGAAGTATTCCAAACTGATACACATTACATATTTGTAAAGCGTGACAAGAGCCTGTGGTGGAATCGCAAGACATCGGAGTTTACAATAAAGCCAGGTAAATACGGAGATGAATCATTGTTTGGATGCACGGCAGCAGCTGTTATTCATAATTAGTCGTTGTTATTGCTTAGATACTTTTTGCCTTATCTGCATTGCGCTCACGTTTTTGCTCTCGAAAACGAAAGCGCAGCGGACAGAGGCAGGCTACTTAAATGTTCTTAAACGTGTTCACTTGTATGAGTGTGTATGTGAATGTGTGTTGCTCTAGTTTGCCTCTGAATGTCAAGGGTGGAATGGGGCTTGAGAAGTCCGAGCTTCTGCCGCCCACTTTTGCAGTTAGCAGTGTCTGATGTGTTATGTTGTGGGCGTATGCGTCTGGCTTTATGTGTGTTTTACTGTAAATGCGATTTAATACGACGTGTATCTATTAATATACGGAATACAGTACAGTACAGTGTACGCAGAACCTCCTTGGCAAGGCAATGTTTTGTTTTGTTCCAAGCGCCTGCTGCACATCCTTGCTTCAAGTACATTCTGCGCTAATGACGCTTGCGTGTGCTCATTCATGTTTGTTGTTCTCCACACCATGGAGCGTTTACTGTACTATTCCTAGAGCAATCAGCTGTGTGCTGTTTGTGTTGACTGTCTTTCTATGGAAGTCGTTATAAAAATAGCTCGGCTGTCAATTTGTATGTATGTCCTCCTAATTGGCCTTCGTTCAAAGTCCTTTTGATTGCTTGTTAATTGAGCAGGCATTACAACTCCTGTAATTTAGTGAACACGCAATAAAAGTTCCGTTCATGAATAAATTCAGTATCCGATTCTAAGGTTGACTACAGACTTTGACCTTTAACTTTGCGAAAGCTTCAATCTTACTTAAACATAAATCTCATTGTAGGTCAATGAAGCTGCTCTCCAAGTTCATATTTCTAATTTCCACAAACAGTTTTTTGATATATTGCTTATTATTTTCTTTAGTTTTTTACTTTACTATACGTTGTTCATTAACTAATTACGATAGAACTGTTTTAACTAATTACCAGCTTGTTTACTGTAATTGTTTTAAGTTATTAGCTAAATTAAACTTTTGGTCATTCTCTGATATGATATGACCTCTATATATATATATATATATATATATATATATATAAAGTATTACACTTTATATATATTCATAGATATGTCATTTTAATGCCGCGTATATTGACTATATTTAAGTCGTTTTGGTTTCAATTAGTAGTTTTTTTTTTATAACTGATAAGCACGTGTTCTTCACGATAAAATTTCAAATGAGATAAGATTAAGAGGAATTTTTTGTCTTGAGCTAATTTTCCCATAATGAGATTTCAAGCTATTCAGCTAGTCACATCCGGTCAGATTGCTGCGACATACTTCTCAAGGATGCGACAAAATTTTTGAAATGATTCCATTATGTTTAGTTTTTTCTTTTCTTAATTAAAAGTGGGTTTAACGGTACATCAATGTACCCTGATCAATTTATTTTTAATCCACAAAACACGCATAATTTCAAAAGCTTTTTTTTAATATAATTTTATTTTATAAAAATAAAAGTTTCAACGACAAATTAGTTCATTTAGTAATTAAAACTTGAAAAAGACCCATTCATACTGTCAACATTAATTGCTCACACTTCTCTGTGGCAGCGCCGTCAAGATTATCAAATAGACATTTGTTATCAGTTGGCTGTAAGACAAATAGGTGCTACAATTGCCATATAAAACCAACAACTTTGTGGACATTAGATGACTAATAGCAAAATCATATATATTTCACAGGATGGGATCTCAGCTCGGTGGAGGACATCGAATGTATTGGTGTTACGCATGGTATTGTGGGCGTCATCTCACTGCCAAATGTGTATGAGCCGCATTTGGTAGTTATTAAGGAGGCGTTAGCCATGGGTGTGCTATATCCGCCGCATTTGGTGTACAAAATCAAATCAATATGCATACTCAGTGCCGATGAGCCGGACTCTGAACTGCCCAACTGTACCAAGCACACAAAGTAAGTTTATTATTTGATTAGCGTATTAGTTTATTAACAGAATTGACGTGACATCTTTATAGAAGTAACAACACCACGCCCACGCACAGCGCCTCCTCAAGCAGCAATAATGCGAGCGGAAGAACTAGGCAAGCGTCCAGCACGAAGAGTACCAAACTCTTCGAGGGCATGAATAAAACTTGGGGTGTTGTAAAGAGCGCTGGGAACACAATCAAAGCCACAACACAGCAGGCAGCTAATTTAGCCACCAAACAGGTGAAAAATTCCGTGGGTATACGGGAGCCAAGGCAAATCGAGAGACGCATTACCGAGGAGCTGCACAAGATATTTGACGAGACGGATAGTTTCTACTTCAGTTTCGACTGCGACTTAACCAATAATTTGCAAAGGCACGAGGCTAAATCGGATGGTGTCCAGCCAGGACCAGATGAGAGATTTTTCTGGAACATGCACATGATCAGAGATATTATTAAAATGAATGTGCGTATTGGAAAATTAATGGAAACGTCATAATTATTTTAATATATTTATGCATTGTAGGATAAAACATGGACATTGCCCATTATTCAAGGTTTTGTGCAAGTAGAAGGATGCGTCATTGGCAATGACTGCTTTACATTATCTTTGGTCTCGCGGCGCTCGCGCCATCGTGCGGGCACACGGTAAGTCAAAGGACATTTTTGGAATTACCGGCGATTAATAGTAATCTTCTAATTGTAGTTATAAACGACGCGGGGTGGATGAAAAGGGCAACTGCGCTAATTACGTTGAAACGGAGCAATTACTCTCATTCCGCCATCATCAGTTGTCGTTTACTCAGGTGCGCGGTTCGGTTCCCATTTACTGGAGTCAACCCGGGTACAAATATCGCCCACCACCACGTTTGGATCGCGGCGTGGGTGAAACACAACAAGCCTTTGAGCTGCACTTTACCAAAGAACTAGCCATCTACGAGCGCGTATGTATCATAAACCTGGTGGAGCAGAGCGGAAAGGAGAAACTGATAGGCGATTCGTATGCGGAGCATGTGATAAAATACAACAACGAACAGATCATTTATGTCACATTTGATTTTCACGACTATTGGTGCGTAAATAGGATTCATATTAAATCTATTGTATTAATTGTAATTACCTTTATCCACTAGCCGCGGCATGCGGTTTGGGAATGTGTCAGCACTGATTGAGGCAGTTGGTCCTGAAGCAGGTGCCATGGGTTTTCACTGGCGGGATCAGCGCGGAATAATTTGCAATCAAAAGTCCGTGTTTCGAGTTAATTGTATGGATTGTCTTGATCGTACGAATGTGGTACAAACAGCAATAGGAACAGCGGTGCTTCAATCTCAGCTGGTTAAATTGGGGCTTTCGCCACCCTATTCCCCAATACCAGACCCATTGAAGTCATCTTTTATGGTGCTCTGGGCAAATAATGGTGACGTTATAAGCAGACAGTATGCAGGCACCAACGCTTTGAAGGTTATAACAGATTTGGAACCAATTTTGTATATATCTAATAGTCATTTTAATTGAATTCCAGGGCGACTACACACGAACGGGAGAGCGAAAGATCAGCGGCATGATGAAGGATGGCATGAACTCGGCCAATCGGTTTGTAGCATATTCACACTACTTTAGAAAGTTTCTATATATTTGCTGTTGCCAACACTTTATCTATTAACATTACGTTTGTTATCTAAATACCTTTGTTCCATGATAATTATTTAAAGTTTATAATATCACCTTGGGTTTTATTTGTTATATTTTTGAATATGGCCATCATCAACCTATCGCCCTGTTATCAATCGCAATTTAAAGTTCTTTAATGGTAAAATTGAACAACAAAGGCCATTTCGGAATTATTTACCCATTTTACTAATCGCGCATGCTTTTTTCTACTCAACTAATTATAAAAGTAAGCCCACTTATATGTTATTTGTTCAAGCTTCAATTAAGTTGTACATTTCACTTTAAAGTCAAAAGAGTTTAAAAGAATTGAATACTCTATACTTAACTAACTGCTCTTGATCCCATGCTTTGTACCTGGGTGACAGGTATGTCAGTACTATTCTAACAAATAGCAAGCTGCATATCTGTAAACCCTGTTTATATATGACTCTGAGCTAATGTCATGCCCACTTCTTCGTAGCTTTTTCATTCAAAACTTTGCCGACTCGTTTCGCCAGTGCATTATCGATCTGATGCAAGGTAAACTGCAGCAGGCGGCCGAATTGAAAGAGGATGATGTTCTAGAAACCATTATACAAATACTCAAGCCCGAGTCCCAACCACCATTGCGTGGATATTACAGTGCAGGCGTTCTGGGACCTGAGCTGAAATTGCTCGAGTCAATTGTCTTAAACAGGTGCGCAGATAGGACCATAAGTGAGGCATTGAAAGCAGATCTTCCAGATGGCAAAACAATTAAATCAAAAAAATTCACACAATTACAATTCTTAGTTGCTCCAATTGTTACAATTGTATTGTTTCTTTCTTTATAAAAGGTATATTACCGTTCGATTTTCGATTTTATTTTGTCATTTAATATCATTCATCTGCACTTTGCTTCTTCGATTGAGTACTTTTGTGAAATAAATATTAAACATATTTGTATATACTGTTTCAGCTATTACCTAGCGCGCTTTAAAGACTCGTACCGACAAGCTACTATCGATCTTATGCTGGGCAACCATGTCTCTTCGGAGTCGCTAAGCGCTTTGGGTGGTCAAGCGGCGCCAGATGAAACCGATGGTGAAAGTGCAGAGCAAGCGAAATTACTAGTGGAAGATTGTCGTCGTTTGTTGTTGAGCTCAGAACAATATCCAGTAGGCGCTTGGGGCTTAATCGATGCCGATCCCAGGTAAACATAATATTAAAAGACGTGAGTTATTAAATTCTAACAACTTTTCCCTAGCTCTGGTGATGCCAATGAAACGGAGGTGGACTCAGTTTTACTGCTAACCGACGACTGCTATATTGTTGCCGAATACGATTCGCATCTAGACAAGATTGTGCGTTTTGAAAAGGTACATTTGTCGCAGATGCGTCTCATTGAGCTTGGCATGCATCAGCAAACGAAAATCTTTCAAGGCTCCTCGGCGGCGCATCTTTGCCTGCGACTGAACTACTGTATTGATGATCAAGAGGGATACTTTCACATGTTCCGCTCTGCCAATTTGCGTTTCTTTAACAATGCGGCCTATGTTATAAAGACACAAGAAGAGCTAACCGAATCGCTGACTTCGATTGTGGAAATGTTTCGAATTGCTCTGGAGAACTCAGGCAATAAAGATGTTCGTTTTATTACTGGCGGTATTTTGCAGCGACGGAAGAGTAAGCTGCCATTGCTAGATGTGCCCAAAGGCATGCCTCGCAATCTATCTGAATCTCAACTTGTGCAGCTCAGTTCGAAGGCAATTTCGAACGTCGCCGGACAGTTCTCAAAATTAGGTCAGACCTTTAAGAAGCCCTCGAACGCCGGTCAACCAGGAAATGTTGCTGCTACTCTCAACCCACAAGTAATGCGTCAGTCAGAGGGCGCCGTATTGGACTTCTGCCAGGAAGCCGATAAGGCCGTTTTCACAGTCGGTGGCAAACAACGTGCAAATAGTTCAAGCAGCACGGACACCGATGAGCGCGACAATAGTCTGTACGAGCCTGAGGTGGACTCGGATGTTGAGATTGCTTTGGATAAGGCCAACTACAATGAGAACGCCTTTCTGCCTTCAGTTGGAATTGTGATGGGCGGTCAAAGAGAGCAACCTAGTTCCTCAAACAATATGCGACAACTGGAGCAAAAGGATAGTATGTGCAAAACTGCCGAGGATGTGCTCACTATTTCTATAACAACGGTAACGGATAATGTTGGTTTGCCCAATGGCTTGTTAGAGAATGCTCCACCCTTGCGGCCAATTACACCAAATCCGCAAATATGCTTACAGGCTCAAGAGGCGGAGGATTTGGACATTGAAGGGCAGAAGCGCGGGCTAAGGTCGGTATTCTACATTTAATATCTCAAGTAAAGTTATGCTTTGTTTGTTGTGTTCTGGGTTTTAAGTTGTTTTTAGCTAATTCATCTACAATATACATGCTGTGTATTCTATATATTTGTAATTTTTTTGTTCTTTTGTAAATGTTTTTATGTTACAGTTGTTTCACAAATAGCTCCTAAGCTATTAAGTATTATATATTTTAACCATTATATGCTCAATTGCTCAAGTATACAAAAAGTATTGTTTTAGATGCATACTCAAAGCATGTCTTTTAAACAAAATAGAAAAACCTTGTGTCTATTTCTAATGTAATCTAATTAAAGCTTACAGTTCAAAAATAAATCTATTCGTAAGTCAAAAAATAAGAGCGTTTTTTTTGTTACACTTGCTTTGATCCTTTTTTAGTATTTCTGCCAATGAAATAAATGTCCCGCTCGGTCAGCCTGTCTATTTTGAGACCAACAAGTTTAAGCCCATTACCAATCCACTATCCAAGCTGGCCAAAGGTATGCAGAACATTGGTTTGAATCTGGATCCACGCAAGATAGCCAACAAGGTGATTATAGTTGAATTATTTGTACACACCTATATCTGATTCTCTTGATTGCTTGCAGACCAGCGTGCTCTCCCCTACTAGCGCATTGGCGGATAACTCTCCACCTGGTCGCGGCCCAGGCTCACGGGATGTTTTGCTGGAAATGTGGGAGGCTGAGAAATGCAAGTCCAAGCTAATAGCTCTGTGAAGGGATACAAGTGATATACACAATTATTTATTATACAAGTTTTGAGCAGAAAGTTTATTCTAGCTGTTTTACGTGGCACTTCCAAATAAGGGAATCTATATAAAATATGTAGCTCATATATACATATATATATATACAATAAGTATTTTCGTTCATGCGGCACGTATTTAATATGCATGTTCGTTGAACTGTACACGATATATGCAATGTTTGTGATTGTTACTGTAGTGCGTTACTTAATTGTGTGTGTCATCACCATTTATAAATACATATGTTTGTGATCATATGGTAAATTAAGAAAAAAAAACCAATTTGTAATGTATGCGTGAATAACCACAAGCAATAGAAATATGTTTTCAGATTAAACTGATATTTTAGCAACTTAAATATTTATATATTTTGATGTAGCAAATACTATTGTAAGTCAAGGGGATTGACATGCTTTATACAATTAACCACCAAATGCATAGAAATAATTAATCAATTATAGCGTGCTTATGAATGAAACCATCTTACGTAAAAAACAAAACAAATGTCACAAACCAACAACAAAAAGACAAGACAAACAGAAGACTTGGCCAATGCGTATGTATCTTATTTTATACACGAAACACTGAAACCAAAACAAAATTTGTTATGTAGACTACGAGTATTATAAAGAAAATCCATTATAAATTAGCAACTTTCGATACAAATTAAGAAAACACTAACTTTCTGATAACTTAAAAGAATTCGAAACGCCAACGAATATACAGATTAATTATACACAGTACGATTTTACGATTATGATGTATTTTACTAACTGTAACGTGTTTACTGTCACTCTGAAATGTAATACGAATCTGTAGTAATATTTATGTACATATACGCCACCGAATACTTGGATATATATATAAATAAAGCTTCAAATACGTTTGCAACACATAGCAACCACAAATCGTCTGAGTTATTCTTTATCTTTATACACTTATAGAGTTTTATATCGTTTTCAGAATCGAAATGAAGACTCACTAAATCGTAAATGGGTTGCACAGCGTAATCATCTCAACTAACAAGCACAACGAAGAATTTTTGAGCACTATTTCAAAATTTAATAACAGTAATCAACCAAATTGGACTGTGTTTTGTCAAATTTTCAACTAATGCAACATGTATCTTTCCGAATCATGATATAAGTTTGGTTTTAGGTCAAATCAACGCCTGTAAAGTAGTTTTGTTTTTTAAGGAATTGAGCTCCAAATTTCGTGTAATAAATGAGTATTTGTCTCTATATCAGTAGGTCCCATGGAAAGAACTAAAGTAATTTCGATTAAATTTTTGCATCCTTCACCTAACAGTTACAGAACTTTCTTCTCTTTATTCTGACTTATGCGGCTAGCCAATCCCATCTAATAGGAACACAACGTGTCAGCGCCAAGTGTTGTCCCACTGTTGGATGGCCCTTGTTTACATAAGTGATAAAAAAATGGCAGACAAGCCACCACCAAAAACGTCACTGTGCATTGTGGAAATCAAAAATCCATTAAAATACCACGAAAACGGACCATATAACGCTGCCAATCAGCTTATGTATACATAAGTGTGTATGGCTCTATTGATATTGGAGTTTTATTTATGCGAACTTTGCCAGGGCCAACGTCGGGCAACAGGGCAAGAAGGCAACGAGCCAGCATCAGGCGGTCGCATATTGAACTTTTGGCACGTCAGCTGATAAGAGCCACACGGTGATGTTTTTTTTGGAATTTTCTTTTTGTTCTGCTTTGACCAAACGTCCAATATCATGCTAATGTTGCCACACAGTTGCATCAATTGTTTTTCAATCAAAGTGCCATCAATCTTTTTGAATGTTTGTTTAATTAACGCACAGGCCGCTTTGTCTACCTTGCCCAATCAGTGGCAACAGCAACAGCTCGAGATAAATAAGTATCGAGTGCTCCAGCCAACCCAGTTGACCCCCGGTTACGCTTGATTGCGATGTATCCTCGTTCCGGAGTGCGATGCAGTTGCTCGCCTCCGTCCATGTCCTAGCCTCGTTTTCATTCTGCTTCGGTTTGGCATTTTTCTTTCGCATTTCACTTCTTAACTTTGTCCATGTCTTTTGCGTCCATTAAGTGTGTCTGTGCTAAGACTTGGAAATTGTCTTTTGAATGTTTCAATTACACGCCTTCTTAAGCACAGCTTCTCTACTCAAATTGAAGCAACGCTTGAGCCAACTCAGTTCTCTTACACTCAGTTGACATGCGACTGGCTGCTCGTGCCTTTAGTATTTTTGGCTTCCATGCGCCAATAAAGTGAAATACACAGATAGTCCAAGAATTTACTGCCTCCAATCTATCGTATGCATGTGAGGGTGTCAGAGTCTGTGTGTGTGTATCTTCCCTTTCTTATTGCCCTGCACCCGCCCGCCACTTTCGTTAAACACTTTTGCCTTAAACCATTAATTTCCTATACGTTCGACTTGTACGTGTTGGTAGCCCGGCCCCGGGTCTAAAGGAAAGTTAATTTTATTGCTAAAAGCGGGTTAAGTGCTTGACGCACAGCTGAGTGCCTCTATTATATAAAGCGCAGAGCCTGCTGCCACTGGCTCCTTTGATAGGAATCGAATTTGCTTTATGGCATGTATGCTAATTTTATGTCTAGTTAACGTTCGCCCAGGGACTGAGAGCATAGTCGATGCCTCTGAGGACAGCTACTGCGATTGACTTTTAATTTACAGTTGAGCCTGATGGCAGTTATCAGCAGTATTGAGCAACTGCAAATGAAAAGACATTTTGTGTTTTCAGTAAATCATTTTATGGCATTAGCAAACCTAAGACTCTGCTAGAAATATGTTATTGTTCCAATTGCGATCCTCCAACTCCTTAAATGCCTGCAGCTTAACTCTTGGTGGAAGCCCATTAAAATAAATGCACGGCGTTTGTGTAAAACTATAAATTTCAAGTATTTGCACAATGTGAATAAATTGATTGCAAGAACCGTAAAATCAAATGATGCATAAATAAAATCAATGCCATACGGCGTGCCAAGCATGACCCATAGGTCAAAGTGCACAATATGTGCGTTATTTACGAGGATTTCAGTTTACGACCACAGAGCAACCAGATTGACACTTGCAAGCAAATTAAATAGAAAAGTGCTTTAGAGGAAAAGTGAGTCAAAAATTGTGTTGTGAAATTTTATACATAATTGAATTTATGGTCAAATCGTGTCACACACACTTATTCAATCTGTGCATACTATTACCCAACATATAGATAGCTGAGGTCAGATCAGATCAGCGCTATTTGGTGGGTGACTTAGCCCATTGGCCTGTGGCTATTGCACCACACGCCAAACAATCGGAAACCGAATGTCATCTTCAATTTCAAATTCAATTATAAAACAAATTGGTTTGAGCGCAAATAAATACAGCGACATACACACATCCAGCCATACTCAGTTACATATATTTATAAATATATACGTCTATGTGCAGGGATGAATTGCCGTGTGTGTGGAGACTGGTCGAAACACTCGAGGCAACATCAAACGGGAAATCCATTCATCCACTTTGGAATTGTGTCCAGTCGCTCTAGTGAAATAAATGTAATGAAATGTTAACAAATGACAACAGGCTGGCAAACATGCAGCAAAAACCGCAAGGGTGCCTTGCTCCTGCATCCGTGCTGACCACACAGACAGCTTACACACACACATGCCCACACATGGGCACACACACACTTCACGTATCGAATTAGTTTGATGAGATTTATTGGCTCAAGTCCCACTTGACCAACAGCAGCGCCTGGTCAGACAATTATGGATGAGTACCATTTGTTTTTCGTCGGTCTTTGATACTTCGCATTCACATGGTTATGGGCAAATCATGCGGCTGACAATGATGCTAATGACGATTCTTTGGCATTATATGGCACCGATATTCATTGCCGTTGGCTCGGATTGTCTCTATTACCTAAGCGTATCGGATTACCATGCGGGCGAATCACACCCAAAGCCAAAGCCACAGCTAAAACCAAACCCAAACCGAAATTCAAGCCGACGCCCAACCCCACTCCTGGCCAGTTCAGCCCACGCACGTCGCTTGTCAACGCCAGCCCCTTGCTGCAGGTCCTTTGGGGAAATTTGTCAGAGCATCAGCAGCGTTAAGGTGCCAATTAAGGGCTTTTTAGTATCAATTACAAAATCGCACGTTTCCACACCTTTATCAAGCTTCAGGAAGTGTGTCCTTGTGTGCACGTATGAGTGCCAATCGGTCTGGGCCTATGTGTGTGGAGCCTTTTGGCATTACGTGGTCGCTCTAACATGCTGGTCAACATTCGGTTGGGGTTGGCTCTGTGGATCTGTGTGGGGCATCTTTTGCGAAATTGTTTTGTGTCATTGTTTTTATTTCTGTTCCTTGCTGCTCGCTCCTCTTCTGTCACTCTCCATTTGACAGCGTCATTTTGTCAGTGATTTATTGTTTCGATGGCGGCAAATTGGGTTTGTCATTAAAGTAGTTAGATTACTGAAACCATAATCGAGAGATTACGACAACATTTTTGCCAGTCCCAATTTATGATAATAGAGTTTTGATTTATATTCTATTGAAATGTGTTAAGGTCGAAGAAGCTAGTCTAAAGCTGAATTGAAACTGTTTTAGTTCATTGATTCTCAAATAAATGGATGAAACAGTTCTACGTCTGGCAGCGCCAGTTGTTCATTCGGGATGTAGAATTCTTAAGGCGGAAATGTGCGTGATGCCGGCCAGTGGATCTACTATAAAGATAGACCGATGAACCTATGATTTGTAATAAGCCATTGCGTGATATCCAGAAGTAAGGACAATCGCAATATCCCTCATTCAGGAGGCAAGTTTTCAAAAAAATAGTGTGAATACATTTCTTTAACTTCATTGCAAGTTTATTTTAAAACGGGTATATAGACTTTTCGACTGAGTCTAGCAACTGTCGCTACAGCGTGTATAGTTCTGTCTCTGGCACAGGTACTTTGCTTTTTCGGTGCACTTCCAGTTATTCATTCGGAAAGCAGAGTCTCTGAACCACAAGTGCATGCACTGCTCTTTACCAGGAAAATCGGGCTGACCCGCGGACCAGGATGTAAATTTCAGTGGCAATCCGTCAGCTATTGACATGAACTTGTGAACTGTGACAAGATCGTTGCCCGATATCCAGTACCACCCGTCCTTGTCCTGACTCTCAAGATAGTTGGAAATAACAGCCATCTCGTCTTCTGATTCGATCAAGGCCAGATCTCCACCAAACTTTCGGCATATGTGTGCGGCTTCGAACCAGTTCACCTTTGATGGACCTCGGAAGTAGTACTTCTCACCAAGCCTGACATAGTTCTGCTCCTCGCTATTATCACAAGTCACTGTTTGGGACAATTTTTATCCGCTACTTCAATAATTTCACCCAGTTCTAGATATCTTACCATTGATTTCAGGCTTGCTCGGATAGTTGAAGTCATATGCAGATGTACTGTAGAGACAGACTCCGAGAAGAACAAATAGAGAACATCTCATTTTGGCATGTAGCAGTAGCAACTCACGAATGCAAAATTAGTTTGAACAACCTGAAAGTTAGGCTGACGCCTTTTATAGTGAAATCTGAGTATTTACATAAATATACATATGCAAAATTCCATATTTGCCTCTTTATATTGATGTGTATGCTCTCGCACACCTACTTAATATTTGTGCATACATCAAGCTTCAACCGGCTTCTATAACTAGCACATTACCAAGCAGCTCCATTTCCTATCTTATCTTGTTTGCTTGCACTAGTTTGCGTACACAATATATACTAATTAAATAGTTTTGGAACACAACAAATGCGTCAATAGTCAATAGCGTCAGTCAGTCTTTTGCCAATATTTGTGTAATTAACTTCTTTAGAAATTTTGGAGTCATACGACCTTTTCTAATTATCTATTAACAATATTAAATCAACCCTTAATTTTCTTTATATTTTGACAAAAATTTGCAAATGATCAGTGTAACTGATTCTCAAACAAATTTATAAAAAAAAAACACCTTTGTAAAGTATCGCTTAAAGTATATTAAATCCCTTTTTAAAATTATAATTTTCAAAAAGAGTATATAAACGATGATTTGATTAAGGTAAGTTTATATTTGATTCCAAACCCGTTTTGTTTATGCAACTATACTCGAAATGAAAGGGGTATAGTCGCTTAATACTGTATTCTACTCGGGGGCTGTCCGGTTGTCCATCTCTACCCAGCACTTGCATATGAAAATCTAATCATTGTCTTCCCAATCGGTAAATTAATATCGCGAACGAGTATTAAACTGTCGGTTACTTCAAACTACAGAGGTTTTACTTTGCTTGTCGTACGACTTGATGCATAAGCTTTGTTAATTATTGTTTACTCTATTAGCTTCAGTATTAGCGAATAAATATGCTAAAGGTAAAGTTATTATTAAATATAATTTGGTTTTAATAATTCGATTTATAAATTGCATTACATCCGCTTAGATTTACATTGTATAAACTGTATAGCTTCGTTTCCAGTAACAGCTTTAGTCACACTTTTTGGGGACGCTGCCTTCTTCAGATCTCTGGCAGCTTCAGCTCTACCGACAGCAACAACTTCGCGTCCTCTGCTGTCAGTTGGTTTCGTGTAATCCACACCTAAAATCCATGGCAGCGTGTCCAAAGTTACTCCCAATTTCGACTCGTATTACAAATTAAAATGTGCCGCAACCCACACAGAGACACACAAATACATACACTCAAATACATATACACATATATATGTTGCCATATCATGTTGAATGGGAGTTTTTCAAACTGATTAGCTGGCACCTAACTTCGTTTCCTTTGCCTCTTCTTTCTTTCTTCCCTTCGCTCTCGCTCCCGCCCTCGTCTATTCCCTTTCACTTTCTCTGTTCAACTGCTTCTGTTGCTGCTGCTGCCACGGGTCAATGAGATGCTAAGCATATGACAAGGCATTGAAAGGGTGTCGCAACTTTTAAAAGATTGTTCAATTTTTAAGTAGACCAGGCAAGGATTTACAGGAATTTGTTAGCTGTTGCTTTGTGGCTTTGACATTTTTTAAGGGATTGATGGATTTTACTTTTGCAGCAAGCGCGCCGCACTAGACTCACAGTTCACTGAGCATATCCTGCCATTGCGGCAGTGATTTATTTGCTCGCGCTCCTGATTTAGTTTTTATTTTTTAATTTTTGTTCCTCCCAAAACTGTCAACAGTTGAGTCTTAGAATGCTCTGCCATGCATCATAATGCCGCCTATGATTAATCGCTGGTAATTATGTTGATTAATTGCCTTATTAAGGCGGCTAGTTTCTGGGCGTTGTGCTGCGTGAGAAGCGAGCGCTGTGCAACGGCTGTCGTAGATCATGTTTTCGGGAGCGTGCTGTGATTAGATATACATTTTGTGAAGCCCACAGTTCGGTGGGGAAAACGCCTTAAAATAGGCACGTCGTCACCACCTCTGCGTCCAAGTCATTCTTTAATTACTAGAAAACCATTTGGCGCAAATGTTTTCCTTTGTTCGCTTGTCCGCATGGCAAACAAAATAGCAGCACCTTCCCTTGGCTGCTGCGGCTGCGACTACTCCTGGTCAAGCCATAATATTTCATTACATGCTGCGCTCTGCTTTTTTCTGTTGTTTTTTTGCCATTTCGACGGGAACTTAAAATTAAGCGTGCCCAAATCCCCAAAGACCGCAGGCCCAACATAAACAAACTAACCGAATGAATGCAACTGTGAATGCTGCGCAGCATCCGCCGGGAATACGGCTGGGTAAGTGCTGTATGGCTAACACTGGGCAAGGGCAAACTCAACGGCAAGGCAGTAGCTCACTGGCTGGTAACCGCAATCATAAAAATAATAACCACATTATTGTGTTTAATAATGAAAAATATCATTTGCGGCATAACTTTTGGCTTTTGTTTGTGCAGCAGCCAACCCCCCAAAGCAGGACGCCCGCATTTTGGTTGGCTGCCGTTGAACGGATCAACCCTTAAATTCGCTTAAATATTAACCGTAGGAACATATTTCCTAAATTATGTTCATTTACTAGCTGGTTGCCCGTGCGGGGGAGTCTTCAGATTGAGTGCCTTTTGCTTAATTTGCGGACGCCGCCAGCCATCCAGCATCCAAAAGGGGTGTGTTATGGCGTCTTAAGTGCGTGCCCGGAGAGCGAACTGATATGGCTGGCAGTGCGCCACCCTCTGGCTGAGCTTGTTGTTTTTATTGGCATGTTGACTTTTGAAATTAGTTTTTAATATGCGCAAATACTTTGCATATTTGGCTCAAGTGCTCGACACCGTCAACAAACTTCAGCAGACGAATCTTTTTAGCTTTATCAGCTATGTACACACAATTGCGCCATATGCCCCTATCGGTAGAAAAACGTAAATATTTGTGAACAACCCGAAATGCAATTTACAAAAATGTTTAACCCCTCTACCAATCGTACAAAAAAAAAAAACAAAAACATAAAAATCTCTGCATATTGACATCAATTAAAGTGCATCAAGTCGACACTCAAACAAACAACATAATACACAATAAATATATGTGTTGAGAGACGCTCAACTCGACCTGGCACAACGGCAACTATTCATTAGCTACCCCCGCGGGCAGTGAAAAGATTCGAAATGCGGCAAAAGCAGCCGCAGCATCCCGGTCGGAGGTCCGGGCCATACCCTTGTTTCCGTAACGTTCCTGAGGCGACAAGCGGTGATTGCGTCGAATATTGCCTTCGGCTGGTTTTTTGGGCGGGCCGACGAGGTCAACTGAAATAGTTCCATAATGAACAAAAACACATTGTAAATTGTCCTGCTTGCATTGTAAATGAGCACAAGTGTGCGACGAGCCCTTTTAAATGGCTTACACTGAGCAAAATCAGCTGCACTGTTTATACTTTAAAATGCAACATTCATTTTTTCACTCAAATCAGATGATTTGAAAAAATCTCTTTTAATTTTCATTTAAATATTTTGCAACTATTTCATGTTTTACACAGTAAAGCTGCAAGTAAGATGAAGCTGCAGTCAGCTAAGTGTATCCTTGCCTAATGTAAAGGGCAAATTAGCAAAAACCAGCCCAGCCATTTAAAATAAAATGAGTCTGACAATGTCCTTAACTGCGCTGCCTTTTACTCTACTACAAACTTTTCCCCAGACAATTCAATTTTACTACTGCAGCCAATGAAGCCATGGGGTCTACATGAATTTACACTTGTGACCAACAAAATATGTACGCTAGCTATATTCATTTAAATTCAATGCTGGATGTTGGCCTGCTACTCCAGCTGTCATCCTGTCGCTATAAACGGGTTGATTTAAGATTTCAAATATTTTTGTTCGTAAGGAGATTTATCTGAGTATATTCTGATTTATTTTAAAAAAGTCATTTTTTTGCCAATAATTTTTTTTATGAAGTTAAGAAACAAATAAAATATCAAAATCTATTTAAAAATTGTATGTTTTTTGTTTTACACATCGACTACCATTTTATAAATCTGCCCATACTTAATACTTTGAAAACACATTGGTATAAGGTTATTAAACAAATCAATACCTAGAGTCAACATGCGTATAAATATATAGTATTATCATGTACCTATTATTTTGGCCATTAGTGTACCTACACTAGAGAGCTCAGAAGAGCAGGCAAATGTAAGTTTGCGTCTCTTCGGCTCACCCTGCCCTCGCCTGCTCGTCGACGATGACGACGAAATGCAAAACTGTCGCCACAGCTAATTTAATAATTTATCATTTTGCTGCAGGGTAACAACAAAAGATTATTTAAATTCGCGTATTACACAACCGGGTAGATCGGATCGATTTTGAAAGCAGCCGAGTTGAGCCTGGGCCGGGGGTTGTGCCTAGCAATAAATGATGTGCTGGCCCGCTGGTAATGCAGCGCAATAATTTAAAAATTTCCACACTCCAGAAGTGACTACGGGAGTATGGGAGTTAGAAGGGGTGCATCGTTTGTCCAATTATGTATTTCAAATTAAATGATGTGGCAGGATTCAAATTTTTCACAAAATCTTCACTATTCTAATTGGCGCGTCTAATGGCAAATGCAGCGAATTGTAAACTACATAGGTTGACAGATCCCGAGAGTGTGCGTAACCCTTTGAGCAACACACTTGAAACAAATTTGTTTACGCACTGTTGGGAAATATTTTGATTTATATAGTCGGGCTGGCACTCGAAGGAGCTAACATGCCACATGCCCAGCACATACCTAGATATATGCGTTTGTAATCCCTTCGTGCCCAATTCAATTGTTCGAATTGACAAATTGATTTTCACTTTAACCGGTTCGCTCTGATTGCTTTGGCTTTCATTTTGTTTGCTTTGGGAATTGGCAATCTTTTCTTCTTCTTCTTCTGCTTTTTTTTTTTTTGAAATTTTTTTCTGGCATTGTTGATGTGTCTATTTCGCATTTTGGTGACGAACCCGTGTAAATATTTATTTAGTTTTGGACTGTGGAAAATTTCGTCACGCTTTTGACCGCATTGTCGCTCGCTATTTAAATGCACGCAAATTGCGGCTTGGCTTCGGTCTTGGC